AGCTGAAACTGCCCCACGCCTGTCAACACATCACAGTGCAGTGAAACTAGAAAGCAAAGGCAAAGGAGGCACAGAAATTAAGCAAACATAAGAACATTGAACAACGGCCTCTTCAATAATCAATCATAGAAAAACATCAAAGAAGAAAATGGTTCCTAGAGTCAAAGGAGAATGCTACTGCAACATATAGGAAGCTAAACACACAATGAAAGCAGTCCTAAGTGGGAAGTTTACAGCTATGAATGCCCACATCAGCAAGACAGAGCAAACCCTAACAAATAATCCAATCAAGTACCTCAATGTCCTAAAAAACAAGAACCTGATGAAATCCTGATCATTGGTAACTACCTTGAAATATTTACTGGAGAATTCAGAAGAAACAAATAAAATTCCTAGGTACATATGAACTACCAAAGCTGAATCAAGAAGAATAAAAAATCCTGAATAATACAATATCAGGCAATGAAATTGAAGAAGTTTTTTAAAAACGTATCAACTAAGAAAAGCACAGGTCCTGATGGACTCATTCCCAAATTCTACAAGAACCTTAAAGATCTAATACCAATACTCCTAAAACTCTTTAATGAAATTAAAAGGGAAGGAGTACTCTCAAAGTCATTCCTGGAAGCTAGCATTACCCTGTTTCCAAAACCAGAAAAGAACCAAACTAAAAAAGAGAACTATAGACCAAACTCTTTAATGAACATAGACACAAAAATCCTCAATAAGATATAACAAACAGAATGCAGCAAATCATCAAAAAAGCCATACCCAGTAGGGTTCATTCCAGAGATGCAGCAACGGTTCGACAAATACAATTCAGTAAATGTAGTACACCACATAAACAGAAGCAAGGAGAAAAATGACATGATCATCCCAATAGACGCAGAAAAGGCCTTTGATCAAATTCAACATCCATTCATGACAAAAAAAAAGAAAAAAACCCTGAAGAAACTAGAAGGACCTTTTCTGAAACTGACAAATGGCATTTATGACAAACCAACGGCCAATATCAGATTAAATGGGGAGAAGCTGAAAGCTTTCCCTCTGAAGTCAGGAACAAGACAAGTATCTTCAGTATCACCACTACTGTTCAAGACTGTTCCTGGAACACAGGCCAGAGCAATCAGGCAAGAGAAGGAAATAAAATGGATGTGTATAAGAAAAGCTGAATTATCATATGGAGATGACAAGATCCTCTACATAGATGACACAAAAGAATTCCACCAAAAAATTCCTAGAACTAATAACCAAATTCAGTAGCATTGCCAGAAGACCTCTACAATGAAAACTGCAGTATTCTGAAAAAGGAGATTAAAGTGCACATTAGAAAATGGAAAGATATTCCCCTTGCTGGATAGACAGAACTACTATAATCAAATGGCCACACTTCTAAAACTGGTATAAACATTTAACACAATCCCAATCAAAATACCAACAGCATTCCTCACAGAAATAGAGAAAACAATCCTAAAATTTGTATGAAACCAGAAAAGACCAAGAGTAGCAAAACCAGTCCTGGCCAACAAAAGCAAGGCAGGAGGCATCACAATCCCAAACTCCAAGTTATAGTACAAAGGTACAGTGATAAATAAAGCACAGCACTGGCAAATAAAACAGACATGTGGCTCAGGAGAACAGAACAGAGGGTGCAGAAACAACTATAGGCACACTCATCTGATCTTTGACAAGGGGTCAAAAATTTCCACTGGAGGAAAGTCTTTTTAACAAATGGTGCTGAAAAGAACAGAGTATCCACATGTAGAAGATTAAACCTAGACCCGTATTTCTCAACATGTACTAAATTAAAATCAAATTGATCAAAGATCAAAACAGTAAAACAAAAACACTTAATTTGCTAAAAGATAAAATAGGTAAAACTCTTGAAAGAGAGGCATAGGCAAAGATTTTTGAACAGAATCTCAATATCACAAGAAATAACACAAAGAATCAACAAATTAAAAGGTTTCTGTACAGCAAAGGAAACAACTAACAGAGTGAAGATTACAACCTACAGAAAGGGAAAAAAATTGGCCAGCTACTCCTCAGACAGAATACATGAAGAACTCAAAAAAGAAGACTACCCAAATTAAAAGACCGAATCAAAACTGAGTAACCAAAAGTGAACAGACACTTCGAAGAAGAGATACAAATGACCAATATGCACATGAAAAATGTTCAGCGTCAAGAAATGTGTATCAAAACCATTCTGAGGCTCCGTCACACTCAAGACAGAATGGCTATCTTTGAGAAACCAAAACATAACAGGTGTTGGCGAGGCTGCAGGCAAAGAGACTCTCGCTCACTGTCCAAGAGTAGAAACCAGTGCAGCCACTATGGAGACAGATATGGTGACTCCTCAAAAAACTAAAGCTAGAAATACTATTCCACCCCACTACTCACCTTCTAGGTGTCTTCCCAAAAGAGTTAAAGACATCATTTGATAGTGATACATGCATACCCATGTTTATAGCAGCACAATTCACCATAGCTAAATCTTAGACGTGGTATTAGTGTACCATAAAAAACGATAAGCTTGAGTCATTTGTAGGAAAATGGATGTACCTTGATACCACAATACTAAGAGGAATAAATCTAGACACACAAGCTTAAGTATCACACGGTTTCTCAAGAGAACCCCAAAATACAAATAATGAGCAAAATAAGAGAGAGACAATAGGAAACAGAGGGACAGATCCTTAGGATATGGGAAGGAAACCCCAAGTTGGAGGGAGAGAATGACATTTTAAAGAGAAAAGGAACTGTGATGTGCTGTGTGCATCTACCAAGTTGCTACCAGGAATGTGCCGATCAAGCAGCACAAACATATGCAAAGAGAAGAGGAGAAGGGATCCAAGAGACAGAGGGAGGGAGAGGAAGGAGAAGAGAAGGGAAGAAAAAGAACTAAGACGGGTCGTGTTCATGCTCCAGCTCCCACAGTGAATGGTAACACTGTGCTCTGCAAACGTGCACTGGAAAAAGGACTGTACACAATAACCAACGGGCATCGGCCCAGCAATGGATATTTGTTCAATACATCAATAACAGGATGCACAAACAGAATAAAAGACAAAATATTCTCAACATACAGAATAAAAGGAGAGAAAACACAACCCATCTCGACTGATGTAAAAACTACGTATTTGATATAACCCAACATCTCATGATCAAACACTTTAAAAACTAGAAATGAAAGGAACTTCCTAAACATGACAAATGGCATCAATGAAAAAGGCATACTCGGGGCTGGGGATTTAGCTCAGCGGCAAAGCGCCTGCCTGGCAAGCGCAAGGTTGTGAGTTTGGTTCCCGGTACCGGAGAAAAACCAAAACCAAAAAAAAAGGCATACTCAGTGTTAAAGACTGAAGCTTTCCCCCATCCCAGCAACAAGGACACCAGTTTTCACCATTCAACACTGTATAAACTTTCTAGGTGCAGCAATACATTAAAAAGAAGAAATTAAAAGCAACACAATTAGAAAGGCAAAAACACTTTAGATATTGCTAGAAAATGGGGGAGAAGGGAATGGAAGGTGACTGTCTAATGGGGCTTCCCCTGGGGGTGACTGAAATGTTCTGGAAGTAGTGGTTGGACAATACTATGAATATACTACAAGCCACTAAATTGTATAGTGCTTTAAAAGTGTGAAAATGGTAACTTTTACTTTGTGCTTTATCACAAGAAAAGATCTATGAAAAGAACATGTAAGGCAAAAGGAAAAGTAGAATGAAAAGCAAAAGTGTGTCTAGGAACACTTACAAGAATATAATTAATCATACCAAATTAAATGATGATCAAAATTGGAATGAACTACTAAATTTAATGAAGTCAACACACCTCCACCAGCAAGATATGCTTAGTCATGCCATAGTTTAAGCAAGAGAAGCCAAGACAACAAAAAACTGAAATATGGTAGAAGTACTCATAAAAAAAGAAGCTCCAAACTATGGAAATGGTTTCCTATGTGGGAAGGAAGTGGAAATCAGTGCTTAGAAGTATACATTTTGTATTATAAAATTCAAAATTATTTTTCCCTATATGTCAAATGAATGTGTAGTCTTATTTAGAAGTAATCACAAGACATTAAACAGCAAAACAGTAACAACAAAAACAAGCTAGATTACTGTATTTTTGGTATAGTGACTTCTAAAGTACTTCTTTCACATGAAAAATAATGACAAAGTCTTCATTTTTTACTTTTACCTACACTGACTACAAAGAAAATGTTTCCTGACTCATAAAAATTATGGAAAGGGTAGTTCACACTGATCTAACAGGAATGATAGTTTCAAGTGGTTCAGCCTCTCCTGTGACGTCTGTGGAATAAGTACACAGGTTCTGTGAACCATACACCCAGGATGACGTGCGCTCAGATGTCCCAAACATCCTTTTCTGATTATGATTTCGTTCTCTCCATGCAGTTCAAAACAATCCTTTTAGGTATCCAGCCATTCAACAGATATTGTTAAGCATCTATACACAATAAATGTTTGACCTATTTTGCCACTGATTGCTAATCTTTCTGACCTTAGTTTAACAGCATGGAACTAGTCTCCTCTGCTTCATCTTTACTATCTGTTTCTTTCTAGATCCTAATCTCAGTTATCCAACAATGGACAACTATTATAACTTGATAAAAAGTACTAACTAACAGCAATTAATAACTACTTGTTATTACTTGGCACCTTCTTTGCTCTGCTCGTTTATAATGTTATTTGCCCTTTTAGAAACTGCCTATGAACCTTACTTATCTGCAGAACCACAAATACATTAGCCCTTGCTCTTGAAAACCACCCATGTGGAACATCTAGTACTTCTCTTCCCACATGATAGATTTGTTTAAGTTGGTTGAGTAGAGACTGCCATGAATTTCTTCTGATTGATTTCTATAGAGCACAGCATATTATAATAGGAAGAGCCCAATTTTATAAACCAAACTCATGTAAAAGTACCTACTAGCTGTAGCATTTCTACCAACAGGACTCAGTTTTATTACTTACAGTAAAGATGTCTTCCTGGCCAGCCTGAAATCGAGCCCCATCTGTTCCATAAAGATATATGGGAGCAGAACTTCTATGTTGTCCATATAATATAATATATATCTGTGAGCTGGTCCCTGCATTTGGCAAGTCACTGGTGATTATGCAGACTTTCCAGTTACCACCTACAGAAGCACAAATGACATGCATTATGTCAATCTATAGAAATGAAAGACTCAAAACAATAGGTCATCATAAAAGTAGGAGAGGTCGGAATAGACAGAGGTCAACTTCTCAGGAAAAGTACCATAAGAAAGACCGAAGACTTGGTTTTTAAAATTCCTCAAAAAACTTACTACATCCTACAGTGTGACTTTGAAAACACTCCCAGAAGATCTTTACTAGTAAGGCTAGACGGAGACCATTATCCTATTATAACCGGTTGTCCCTGAACCCTCAGAGAGTCACTACAGAGGCTCCCAGTATTTTGACAAAATATCTCCACTAAACTTAACTCTAATATGTAACATGTGCACTTCAGAATTATACCTTTTACATTTTGAGGTTGCATATTCTCTGAAATAAAAGCACCATCAGAATCAAGTTAGAAAGTATTTGAAAATCATCCAGTAAAATTTCATTTATTATTCTGTGTCCTCAATTAATAGGTAAAGTGACTGAGTTTCACAAACACTAAGTAAATTTGTATCACCCAGCAACATATAAAAATAGTGCTTAAAAATACATGGTTCACTGTGAGTATAAATGAGAATGATTAAATATTATAACACATCAATAGTGGTATGACATAATCTCGTAGGATTTCTAGTTAGTTTTGCCAGTTTTATTTAGGGCAAGTATCAAAAAGTTAACCTATAAGAAAAGTGAAATAATGAGAATTAGGAAATATAGTTAAGATTACATTTTTTAAAAAGGCAATAAAATTCAAGACTAGAGATTAAATGACATTCTATCCATCTGACTGTAATTGCTTTTCCCGTAAGTATATTTTCAATTTTTTTGTTGTTGTTTTTTTTGTTTTTTTGTTTTTTTTTTGTTTTTCTCCGGTACCAGGAACAGAACTCACGACCTTGCGCTTGCCAGGCAGGCGCTTTGCCGCTGAGCTAAATCCCCAGCCCTATATTTTCAACTTTGATCACTAAAGTAATCAGATTCTAGGTTTACATAAGATGTAATACGTATATGTTAAATTAACATATGAATATAAAATTCTATTTTATAAACAGAAAAAAATGTATTTTATTTGTCCCAAGCATGGTAAAAAGCTACATTAGGCTATCAAGTCTTTTTGGTAGACAATCTTTCATTAAGTAAAAGCATATTTTTTAAAAATTAGTAGAAAATGACTGTCTTTACTAACAGAAGAGGCAGTTAAATTGCAATTACAAAACTCAAAGATGGGAAAATTAGAGCTGTTTTATGTATAATACCTTGCATGTTGGTGCTTATTTAAATAAAATGAAATGAAACTCTTCTGTTTCTGCTGTTTTAGAAATGCAGCAAAAGAGGTCAGAGGAGAATCAATACTTGCTAAATGTGCAAGAACCAAATCAATAGGAAAAGAAATTGCATTTCCAAATCACTGAGATGGAAAAGGATAAAAAGTGTATGAATAGAAATAAAAATAATGAAATATGATGTCTGCTTACCAAAGGTTACTGTACCTCCCTAACTTACTAATTCATGAAAGCTTTATCCTTGCAAAGGAATACTATAAAAAGTGGAGCAGAACCTAAAGATGCTCACTGTCTGGGGGGCAAGAGGATGGAAAACTAAGATGCAGTCTTTGTACTCCATTATGTTATTGATATGAGGTCAGCACCGTACTAAGGTATGTTCAAATCCTAGTTCCTGAAATCTGTAAACATGACCTTATTTGGAAATAGGGTCACTGTAAATGTAACTAAAATATAAATTAAGGTCACAGTGGAGTAGGGTAGGCCAGCCCTTCACCCAGGATATATTTAATGTAAGATTTTGTTGGAGCAAGGCCAGATCACAGAAAAATTAAGAAAATGAATAGGAATAATTAAAGGACAACAACAAAGAGGCCAGAAATGTGTATTATTTATATATTAAACTAAAAAGATACAAAACATATGCCATAATCCTTGCAAAAGTAGAAGCTAAGAAGTGAACATCATAAAAAATTTCAAAGCTTTGCAGATTTCAAAACTTCACCTAACTTTTGCAGAAATACAAGGGGAGAAAAAAGATAAAAAATCTAAAAAGCAATGGATAACAAAGTTGTGGTATTTTTATACAATGGAGTATTACCCAGCTATTAAAAAAGATAAACTCGAGGCTTTTGTAGGTAAATGGATGCAACTAGAGACCACACTCATAAGTGAAATAAACTGGACCCACATGTGTAAACATCATGTTGTTTCCTTGGTGTAGGAACCTGAAAGACTAGGTAAAACTCAAAATGTACAATAGATGATAGGAAAGGGAAAAAAATTGCTCCAAGGAAGGAATGACTGGGATAGGGAAAGAAGAAAAAAGAAAGAAGGAAGGCAAAACATAAATATATATATGAATAGCTGCGATGACTGTATTGCTGATGTCTGATGTTGCACTGAAATGAACAGTTAATGCTTACAATTTTTTATGTTCTGATAGACTTTGCATGCTTGTGTCTGGTGGTCTGAGCAACTGATTTGAAGGTAACAATGTGCAATGGAATTACAATGGTGAATTCCTACCATCTTGTCTAGTGAAACTCTGTATTATCTCTAATGTTTTATTGAAGAATTATTTTCTTATTCTCTTCAATGGTTTGAGCGATCTTTTATTGTTACATCTAGTAATCTGAGCAATGTAACTGAGGATAGCGACAGGTAATGTAACCACCACTGTTGATTCATATTATTTTGTCTTGAGACCCTGTATCACTTTGAACGTTCTTGCTTTGATTTATGTTCGTGATACTGCTATGCTACTACTGTTGTATTTGTTTGTTTGTTTCTCATATACTACTCTCTTTAAAATAAAAAAATCTAAAAACCTTAATATTTATAGCCCTATTAACCCCCAAGTTGAACAGGAGTCCAATGTTGAATCAAGAGAGGTTAACTGACTGGAGAAAACAGAATGCAGATACGGGGCAGGCAATTTAATAACAGACTGTGATGACCACGGCACACACAATAAAAAGCTGAACAACCTTTACCTTCTACAAATAATAAAGTATGGTTTAAAATTTTTCACAAAGAACTACAGGACCAGGTGGCTTCACTACTGAGTACTTTCAAACCTTAAATACAAACACACACACACACACACACACACACACACACACACACACATTCAATTCTATCCAAATCCTTTGGAATACTTAGCTTATTGTCTGAGAGAAATATTACTCTGACACCAACCCAGTAAAAGGTATTATTTGAAAATTACAGAATAACATTCATGAACATAAAAATATTCTCAAAAAGTGTTACAAAAGTAAGTCAAAAACCTCCAAGTTTATCCCAGAAATAGAAAAGGCAAACACAACCTTCAAGTGGATCCCAGGAATTCAAAGGTTTTTTAACATTCAGAAGTCAGTGTAATTCACCGTACTAACAGAATAAAGAAGAACATGACGGCCAAGGTCTACATGGCTACTATGCCCCTTGGGTGACCAAACAGGTCTTACCAGGCTGACGCTGATGTTAACCTCCTAAAGGAATAGAGAACCAGACGGAATCTCCATAATGTGATTCTACTCTGTGTCTTCTGGAAGGGTGGGGGGACAGAGCCTGCTGTGTGCACATGAGTGTATACTATATAAGCAAGCAGAGAAAGGGCTCAAAAAAATAATTTAAAGAGATTTCAATGGTTGCACTCATTTTTTATACTTTTTTTTACTAAAAATTCAGACTAATTTCCCTACATTTAAATGAGCTGGAAACAAATTCCAATGCCATTTCAATAATGTCAGACTATTCTTTTGGCTTATCTATGCCACATTCTTGAGACTAGATGGAGTATATATGTATGCAAGTGTTACGACCGCGTGGCCATCTTAACCACTTACCAGTCCAATTAATTAAATACATGATAACCAAAAATTGCATACTTTTGTTAATTTTTGTAAGATAATATAACAAGAAATATAAAAACGACAATTTCATCAGATTTATTCAATACAAGAATCAACTGGTTGAAATGACACCTGCCTGAGCCACACTCAGGATAGTATGTCAATAAAAGCACTGCCCTTGTGATGCTCGGGCAAAGTGTTGAGTGACTAATTTGGTCTTGAGTCTGCTCTTTGTAAAGCAGCTGTAAGCTCCAGCCCTCCCCTCAGGAGGAATCTAAAGGATTTGGCCATGGATGTCTTTCATGAGATACTTTTTTTTTTTTTTTTAAATAAAAGGAGGAAAACATTAACAGACAGACAACCTTTTACAAAATAGCAAAAGAACAGTACAAACAATACAATTACAAACAAAGTGGTAGGAAATTAACAATGCTTCTTGTATTACGTTCATATCTTCAAAGTGGTTTCTCATGAAAACAGAGACATGCAATATTGATCAACCAAGGACTCATTAACAGTTTCAGCAAAGAAACAGAAGACAGTAGATCAACTATGTTAACTATCCTGCATATACATACATACAAAATTTCTCCTCCTTTCCCTTCTCTTTTCCCACATCCCAGTTGCCCTTTACCCTTGAGCGTTTTCCTATCATTTCACAGTGTCTATCATACCTCCGAGTTTTTATTAACTCTTTCAGGTTTTACACTAGTGAGACAATGCGGTGCTTGCACATGCAGGTCTGATTTATTCCACTTATGAGTATGGTCTCTAGTTGTGACCACTTACCTATAAAGGCCTCGAGTTTATCTTTCTTTATAGCTGAGTAATATTCCATTCTATAAAGGTACCACAATTTTCTCACTTCTTTATCCTGGCAGACAACCTATGGCCTAAGTGTGCAACCCACAGCCAGGCGCCCCTCTGACAGGACAATGGCTTCACTGGCAGCCATCTTCGTGGCTCCTGTTTAACCTGCGCTGTTTACTCTTGTGAAGATAACGAGTAAGGCAGCCCTGCTTGGCAAGACAGATGAAGTTCGGGGTTAGTGTGCGTCAGGTGCCAAGGTTAAGAAGTGAAACCAAAATGCACGAAAGAGAAGAAATGTACTACCGTAATTCCCAGAGTTCC